CATCAAGATGACGTCTTTCATGGGAAGTCCATTTGTACCTGGCCTCCATTACACATGGTTATTAGATCAAGACAATGCCAGGTTTCATTCTGCATGTGCTACAACAGTGTGGTTTTGTAGACTCGGAGTGAATGTGCTAGACTGCCCTGTCTGCAGTCCAGATCTGACTCCTGTTGAAAATGTACGACCAGTCATGGAAAGGAGAATCAGATAACGACGATCACAGACCGCTGAGCTTCTGAAGTCTTATATTAAGCGAGATTGGACGAAAAATTTGCTTGCAAAACTTCAACAATTAGTATCCTCAATTCCCAAACAATTAAACGTTGTAAAAGGAAAGTTGATGTGACGGTGGTAAAGTGTGCTGCAGCCATCAAAAATCAAACTTTGTATATATTTACAAAATAAAATTGGCCAGTGAAAACATTGGATTTTTTTTCTTTGTACGTTAGTCAAATTAAATAAATTTTAAAGAGAATGAACAAATAGGCCTAACATATTGGACCTTTTTCACATTTCTGGGTTTCTCAGCAGCGGAAGTCATCATCATAGTTGGGTTAACTTGAAGAGCAGTGAATGAGTGAGTACCACAAATATATTTTTTGCATTCCCATTTGCACAAATAGCAAAAGAAAAACTCCACGATAGTGTTTTCATGGCTTTCAATAAAAGGAAAAAATTTGAGAGAGACTGATAACGGCAGTCAGAAGAGAGAACGATGTCAAATTTACCATCCCTCCCATAAACGCTGCATTAGAAACACCCTCGCATTAGCGTTAACTTTTTTTTTTTTTTGTAATTTGATGCAAAGGTGATATAATACAAAGAATAGTGTTATAAATGTACATAAATACAATTCCAACTTTTCTGGAATTGGGGTTGTAATTACTGTCAGACTTTCAAAATCCTACATCACTTGAATTAAGATTATAATAATTAAATTTTAAAGCACAGCCACCACAAAATCATACTTACTTTGAGATTCTGAGGTTAAATACAGATTTAAAATCACAACAACAAATTGTTTAACAGCTATGATAAAGTTTTTGAAATCAAATCTTTGCATAGCTATGCCAGGAAACACTGGAATCTAACAATGCCTTGGAAAAAAAGGATATACATAAACCCAAATAAGAAATAAAACAGTTATGTGTCCTGTTCTCTGTACTAAATTTGGTGTCTCATATTTTAGAGCAGTCACTGCAATTTATGATAGAAATCAATTAAATCTGTATGTGGGTGTGTGTGTGAAAAAAAATTAAGATGTAACCCTCTTTGTAATCGTTAAAATTTTGTAAGTAAGTAACAGTAATTTAATTACTCATTTTTTCTCAGTAACTGTAACTGATTACAATTACATTTATTTTGTAATTAAATTATGTAGTTCCGTTACATGTAACTGTTTGAGCTCAAACTTGAATTTTACCTCAACTTGCACAGCTTTTTGAAAAGATACCATTGTTAATATGTACTTAAAGTGGGTGAAAAATGATAAAGTGGGTGAAAGATCAAATAGATTTACGAAGAAAGAATAACTTGAGCCATATTTAAGCTGCAGAATATCACAGCAAGCTAGCAGTTAGCAACCACAGAACACCAAAACAATCATAGCAACATGCTAAAAACACTCAGAATGCACAGCAACACCTGGCAAACACCTTAGCCCTTTTGTCACAGGCAAACACCAATCGCATTTTCTTCAGAGAATGTAAGAGTTTTGAATATTTTTTCAACTTAAATTTTTTTCTCTATCTTAGTTTAGTTTTAGTCTCATATTGTCTTGGTATGAAGCACGGGTGTAGGCTGCACTGGCCTGTTTGATCTATGAAGGGGGTATTCCAGATTCTAATCTCATCTGAAATAATGTGGTCTGGCCTTTTGGGTTTTACTTTTGGGTGATGGGGTTGAAATGAAGATGATGGTGATATAATGAAGACTTGTCCCTTCACAGACGTGTGGTATTACCCCACTACAGTGGGACTCCCCCTCGGTCAGGAGGGATGAGGGCGGCAGGGGAGGGACAGTCTGGAGAGATGGAGAGCTCTGCTTCATGATGAAAGTTGAGACCGATTCGATGAACGCACTGCAACCTGCCAGGTTGTTGGGTTCAGATTCTCCTCTCAAAAGCCATTTTAGTTTCTACCGCAAACACTTTCAGTTTTTCCATCCTCCCACTCCTTCTTTCTGTCTTTATGTATCTCACGCTCTCTTTTTTTCTATGTGTTTTGCTCAATCAGTGTCTTGTTGATTTTTATGATCATAAATTTGTGTCTGTAAGATTTTTGGTGGGATGTTTTTGAAAAAAAAAAAAGTCTCATTCTAATCAAGACTGCATTTATTTGATCAAAATACAGTAAAAACAGTAACAATATTGTGAAATATGATTACAATTCAAAAGAACTGTTTTCTATTTTAATATCAGTGTTGGGAAGGTTACTTTGGAAATGTAATAGGTTACAGATTACAATTTACCCTATTTAAAATGTAATAGTAGTGTAACTATTTCAATTACTTTATTAAAGTAATGTAACTGATTACATTTGAATACTTTTTGATTACTTTTCTACATTTTTAACAAATGTTTTCAAAGGTTATTTGAATTTTCATCAATTTAAAGCAGTCACGGTTAACTTTACAGTAGGACTCAACACTTCCTTCATTCCTTCTTCACTTGAATTAAGATAATAATTATTTAATTTAAAGCACAGCCACCACAAAATCAGACTTTATCAGCTATGTTTCCTTTGAGATCATTCTGCGGTTAAATACAGATTTATGATCATAAGATATAGTTTAATACTAGCTTTTTGAAATCAAAATGTTTGCATAGCCATGTCAAGTAACACTGGCATCTAGCAATGCTTTGGAAAAAAAACTGTTAATCTTTAAAACTAACCCTAACCCTAACCTAACCTAACCTAACCCTAAACTCCTGAAATATTGGTGTCTCATATTTTAGAGCAGTCGATGCAATTTGGGAAAGATATAAATCAAATCTGTACGTCTGTGAAAATATTCAGATGCAACCCCCTTTGTAATCTTTAACATTTTCATAAGTAACTGTAATTTAATTACACATTTTTTCTTAGTAACTGTAACAGATTGCAGTTACATTTATTTTGTAATTAAATTCCGTAATTCCGTTACATGTAACTAGTTACTCCCCAACACTGTTTAATATATTATAAAATGTACTGTTTGAAACACCGAATGCTTACTGTAGTATGCTTACAGTGTCATATGATCCTTCAGAAAGTATTAATTTAATATGCTGACTTGGTGCTTAAGAAACATTTCTTATTATTATCAATGTTGAAAACAGTGCTGCTTAATATTTTTGTGGAAACGCGATACTTTTTTTTTTTTCAGTTTTCTTTGCTGAATAGAAAGTTCATGAGAACAGCTATATTTTCGTAACAGTATCAGTAACAGTAAACAGTATCTTTACTAGATCAATTTAATGCTGAATGAAAATTAATTTCTTAAAAAATATTACTAACCCCAATATTTTAACAGTAGTGTAGTTAAGAAAATGAATTTATGATATATGTATATTCATAAATATTTATACACAAAAGAATCCAAGAATGTAAAAATATGTTTTATTATAAATATGTATATAAAATACATAAAGAAAATAACAAAAATAATACACATACTTTTTCTTAGTAGATTTATTTATTTAATTATTTATTTTTTATTGTGATAGTAATCAGTCAACTGGAGAACGGAGGAGTGATTATCAGTCATGTAGATATGGTGGTTTGTACCTGAAAAATAAAATTAAGAAACTTGTCGTCTGCAGTGTGGCTTTTCACGCTGGTTGTGTGGGTGATTTCTTTGTAGGTTCTTTATGAACTGAAATGGTGGTTACATCTCTCTCTATGTCTTTCTGTTTGTGTATGTGTGTGGCTGGAAAATAAACCTACAAAAAGCCTTTGGGAGATACAGAAATAAAGATACCCAGAGAGAGAGCGGGAGAGAGAGAAAGGGAGGGATGGAAGGAGGGAGGGAGCACACAGTAGGCTTTGGTTGGATCTCAGTGCTCACATGTGGTTAATCCGTTGGTGCTCCCTAAAGCCGGAAACACTGATCATTGGGGCGCTGAGGGAAGAGCAGGTGTGTGCAGTGTGTCTGAACCTTAATTATACCCAACAGTCCTCATATATTTACATACACAGAAAATAATGTAACTAATATTACTTTATTGTGCATTTAATATGTATACTGTGCTTTAAAGACTGGAGTAGGATTTGCAAAGTATGTGATACAATTCTGTAAACATTATCTAATCACTTTCTGATAACCTCATCATTCCAATCCTCTGGACAAATTTGTTTTAGACTTTCTTTGGATATGGCAACAGTTATGTACTGTACGTTTTTACATAACTCACTGAACATAATGATTTGTAGGAAGATTATTATTTTTTTGGACAGCTTAGAATTAGAAAGGACAGTATGTGAGAAAGACACTCCACGTCTCTGACATCAGGTAAGAAGTAGGCCTATATATTTTTAATGATCTAAAATATATTTGAACATTTGACATTATAAATTGTACATTTGACATGTCTCTTTTTTCACATTTCATAACAATAACGTATATATAGGCCTACATTATTGTTATGAAATGTGAAAAAAGAGAAATGCCACGTTTTTCAAATCTCTCTCTCTCTCTCTCTCTCTCTCTCTCTCGCCCTACAACGATTCAGATGGTAAAATGTGAAAATAAACATTTCATAAGTATTGCAAATAACTTTTCAAGTCCAAATGTGGACATTAAATATTAGGCTATAGTTTACTTCTCCCAGAAAAAAAAGTAAGTAAAAGTAAACTCAAGTATTTAGCTTTGCTATTTCATATGCAACAATTAGCATTTTTTCGTTACTAAGCATTGTTTATTTGTAAAGTGTGTTATCTCCTGGATGATAAAGTTGACCAGCACGTTCACTCTTTTAAAACAGTTTTAGTTCCGCATAGAGCCATAGACGACGGACACATTTTGTAGTTGCACACAACACAAAGCGAAACTGTTTACAAAGACAAAGTTAGTGGCAGTGACTAAAATCATCGACAGCAGGGCTTCGCTGTTTTCTCGACAGGTAAGGAAAGACTTATATGAAACTGAAAAAAAATGCAGTTTCAGTATGTGGTTTACAATCACAGAGCTGAATAAAGTCTCTGTTGAGGGAGTGTAGCAAGCTAGCTGTACTTATACTCATCTGTTTGCCCTAGGGATTTTATTATTATGGCTTATTAAAAGTATTATGTTGACCATGATAATGTGAACACACAGTCCTGTTTTGCCAGCTAACATTGATAGTGTAACAGTCTTATCACGCTAGACGTGTTGTCTGACATCTGACATAATGTTGTTGACATGTGACACTTGCACTTTAGTATCTTACCATGTTTTCTACACATATATCATGGTAATAGCATTACCGTGTGGTTGGACTATATTCTGTGAAGTATCTCAGAGTACAATGTAAATAATAAGGTACAAAATTATGCATTCAGTACCATGGTATAGCATATATCAAAAGTACCATAATATTACCATCTGTTGCTATCATTTTACCATGATACTAACCAGTACTGTTCATTTATTTATTTTACTTTCTGATAGAGAAAAACTACCCCAAATTACCCTCCCCTAACTTAATACTGTATTATCTTTAATAATTTTTTAATATACATTTTTAATATTAAAAAAAAAAAAACATTTAATTTCATATATGGTTTAACTGTCACATTCTCTCTTTCTGTCTTTTAGAGGAAGACTAATTATGTATGGATTCGTTAAGCTTGTGACATTATAAGAGAGGTCATAAGAGACGGTCATGATGACGGAGGAGGCTGGAAAGCTTCCACTTCTGCGCCTGGAGCCCCCCATTCAGAAATTCATTAAAGTGGCCGTTCCCACTGACCTGGAGAGACTGCACCAGCACCAACACAACATAGAAAAGGTACAAACACACACACACATGAACAGCGACAGCAAAGCCCAGCACATCACATCCAAAACTCAGCATATGGTCAACAGAGAGAGCCATGTGTCTGTGTGTGGTCACCACAGGGAGTCGAGTGCCGAATAGCTGACGGTGTATCTGAAATCTCTCCCGGTCAGCCTGCTTGAGGAACATAGAATAAAATAACGGGGTTTGGGGGATCTTGAAGAGCCATGGAAACCTAGATGATTGTGAATTACCAGGCTGTGATCATGAGGAGATTTTATTAAATGTACATAAACAGATAACGCTGTCAAATTAACTAAGCTTCCTTTTCACAGTTTCAGAGAAACAGTCAGTGGGATAAACTTCACCAAGAGCACATCAACTCCAGCCGCACTGTCCAGGTACAACAAAATTGTAATAATGCAATTTTTTTACATTTACATTTAAATGTGAAATTGCGAGGATCAACAATGATAACTATGGCACTCTTTGTTTTTAAAGAAGTTGAAATATTTATTTAGCAAGGATGTGTTCAATTGATCAAAAGTGACAGTAAAGACATTTGTAATGTTACAAAATAAATTTTGAACTTTCTATTAATCAAAGAATCCTGAAATGTATCATGATTTCCACAAAAATATTAAGAAGCACAACTGTTTTCGACATGATATGCTCTTCTGTAGTATTTCTTTGTCTATAAGTTATTCTTGAGAGTTCAATTTCCATAAAATGTAAAAATCCTTATCCACATGCAAATGACTGGAAAAGTCATGGTCGCAAAGTGTGGGACAATTACCATTAACGACTAGTGGGATTTGGATTCATATGTGTTGTTTCAGTTCATAAAAAATATCTCTCCATTTTATTGATGGTTTTGTTGGTTTTCTCAGGGTAGTGACCTGGTTTGAAAATATTCCCATGTGCCACAAGGCACTGTGGAATGTTGCTCAGACAAATCATTCTTAGTGATGTAACAGGCTGTTGCCATGGTTAAGTTGCATAATAAATCTTAACATCATATGGGCACAGTTAAAAGGGATTATTTAGCCAAAAATGGAAGGTCTGTCATCTTTATCTAACCCTAACCCTGCTGCCTTCCATACAATCACAGTAATTTGAAATTGAAATAGCTAATAATAGTTAACTTAAAAACTAGTTTGACAGCCATGGTCACCATTCACTTTCACTGTATAATAAAGAGCAGCTTGTACATTCTACTATAAATAACTTGTTTTTTTTAAACACAATATTAAAGGAAGTGGTCACACAAAAAGGAAAATTTGCTGAAAATTTATTTCCCCTCAGGCCATCTAAGATGTAGATGAATTTCTTATCGGAACAGAGTTGGAGAAATGTAGTATTACTTCACTTGCTCACCACTGGATCCTCTGCAGTGAACGGGTGCCGTCAGAAGGAGAGTCCAAACAGCTGATTAAAAAACGTAAACAATCCACAAGTAATTCAAACCACATCAGTTCATAAATGTCTTAATGATGAATTTGTTCATTACAAACACACAGCTTTTCACTATACAAGACATAAATTCATGTACTGGAGTCATGTGGAATACTTATGGATTACTGTGATGTTTTTATCAGCTGTTTGGACTCTCATTCTGACGGCACCCATTCACTGCAGAAGATCCATTGGTGAGCAAGTGATTTATTGTTAAATTTCTCAAAATCTGTTCCAATGAAGAAACACACATCTACATCTTAAAAAGGAATGAGGGTAAGTAAGCAGATTTTTCATGTTTGGGTGAACTATACCTTTAAGCCAAAAGGAAATGTCATCATGTTGATCAGGTTCAATGCAGGTTAAACAAAAATTAAAAGGAATTAATCTGTGCATTCAAAAATTTCTCTAAACATGATAAAAAGATCTCATCAGAAACATGCCTTCATCCTATGCTGATACAGCTGTGAGACATGTCTATATATTAAGTAATGTTTGACTCAGGTCTCTGGTGTACGTGATGGTGTATGTGTGATGTCTTTTCTCTACCTAATGGCCAGACAAGCATGTAACCTGTGTGTTAATGTTTCTGAGAGTCTGTCCGGGCCTCTTATGGGGCAGTCCTTGGAGTGTGTTATGTGCCGCCATGGGTGTGTGTGTGTGTGTGACCTTAGCACCCAGGTCTTGTTCCCCCAGAGATGCCAGAGAGCTTTCCTGTGTCCACCACTGCAGAGAGTGTGTGAGAGCCTGCAAGTGTTTCTGTGTCCGCGAGATGTGGACGACTGACAATAGACGGAAACAAGACAGACATAGTTAAAGTAGCTCCCCAGAGACAGAAATAGAGAGAGCAAGAGAGGAAAAACCCTAAGATTGCTCTCATCACACACCTATAGAAGGAGCTTTGGGGGGTGGGGTGGACTGACCCAGATTTTAAGATATTAAGATATATTTCATCTGTCTTTTTGTGTCCCCGTTCTATATTACAAAGCAAGCTGCATACATTAGTAATGCTTTTAGTGTTCTGTGTGTATGTGAATCATTTAAGAGGGATGATCCTGAGTATGGTTATTCAGAGTGTGAAATGAGAGCAGTTGAGCTGAAAGCTTTGATTGGCCAGCTGTTAGCTTGGACCTCTGTATTCAGTACAAATGAATTGATCTGTAATCCCTTCTAGATGTTTGCTTCTGGACATGAGCTGATGGGAAGCACCAGTTCTTTTTTATATATATAGCTTCAGGTTTTCATCAACATCTGGTTCGAAATTAATGAGAAAATAAATAATCACGGGGTGCTTCTGCACATGGAAAACCTTTAAAAATTAGTGAATCTTTTTTTTTTTTATTGTGATATCCAGGCCTGTATAATGAAAAATAATCAAATCTTAAAAAGTATTGGGAAAAATAATGAGCATTTCTGTAATGAATATGTATTTTTTCCCCCTAGATTTTGTGGTAGCAATATTTTATTTGTCAAACATTATGAAGACCATGAAGAGAGGAAAGTAGTTTTCATTACAAAATAAATAAGTAAATAATAATAAAAATAATAATTTAAAAGAAGATCGACACCTAAAAAATACAAACCTTTCCCCGCATTTTCTGTACAATTATTTCTTAAAAAAAAAAAAAACTTAAAAAAACAACAGCTGTAAAGGTCATGGAAAAGCAGTGGGAAATCATTGTTTTTTAATTTTACCAACTCTTTCTGCAAACTCACACAAACACACTGAGATGTTGGCAGTGGATGAAATGTGTATCTTGTTGTACCCGCATGGAGAGAAATAAGTGTGAGCAATTTTTGGTTTCAGATTTTAAAATTTGACAGTACAGGGTCAGATCCTAGGGTCTAAGATGTTAAACTATCATACACAGTGTTATATATTCCATTTTGTTATATACACATTTTTTGTTAAATTGAACCGGTCAAATTTGTGTATAAGGAAAATACTATATTGAGGTTTTGAATGAAACCATGGATCCTGTTATCACAAAGACTTCCACTTTTCATCCTTGCAGCAGTTGCGATCGAACCTGCGGGAGATGGAGAAGTTGTGTGGGCGGGTCCGCAGTGCTGATGCTGAAGCTCTGGAGAAACTTGTTCAGCCAATCAAAGATCGAGCCTCCACTGCCATTCAGGAGTTCCTCAGGATTCACTCGAATGCAATCAATAGGCCGGGTGCTCCAACTATTGGCAAAGACTCTCACAAAACTATCAGCACCGCCTCGGATACGTTGCACAGTATGTGTTTCTGAGAGTGTCTGTGTTTTATGAAGTTATTCAAGATGTGTTTTAATTATTATTTTTTTGCATTTTCATTTTCACTTTCATGTTATGGGTTAGGTGACTGTGATACAGGTGTGCCCGGTTCCCCTGTCACTCAAACACAGCTGCTCCTGCCTGAAATCCCTCCAGAACAGAACGCCGCTGAGTCCTGGGATTCTTTAGCTGAGGTAATACACACAAACACTTACAAACACATAAATATATTTGAATACAAAGACTTTAAGTGTGTGTGACTGTTGTGGTTTGTTTGTTTAGGACCTACTGGAGCTGAATGGTTTAGTAAATGAGTTCGCCACTCTTGTTCATGTAAGTATCACACATCTATGGAAACGATTCATTCTTTGCTTTTTTGGAAGGAAAGAAAGAAAGAAAGAAAAGGGAGAGACAGCGTGAGACAGAATGTGTGGTATGTGTGCTGATAAAAGATGGTGACCAAAACCCTTAGGTTTGGCAGAGCTGTCAGACAAATGGCTTTGTCTCCTAAGAGCCAACAAGGTGGTATTGATCCCAGCAGTGTGTGTGTGATTGAGAAGACATAAAGAGATTGGTGACAGTCTGTCAGCCATGTGCTAACCAGCGAGGATTAATGAGAAGCCATGCGATATAGCAGCCATTATTAGAACAATAAGCAGTTGGAAAACTGGCTGTCTCTCTCTCTTTCTCTATCTCTCTCTCTCAGTCTCAAAGTGATTGTTCACCCAAAAATTACAATTCTGTCATCATTTACTCACCCTCATGTTATTAGAAGCCTGAATGACTTTCTTTTTTCAGCAGAAAGCAAAAGAAGATATTTTGAAGAATGTTCGTAACCTAATAGATAGTTTCCCATTGACTTCCATCATATTTTTTGTGCAAACAATGGAAGTCAATGGGAACGCAACTGTTTGATTATCAGTTTTCTTCCAAATATCTTCTTTTATGTAGCACCAAAGAAAGAAAATTATACAGGTTTGGAATGACATGAAGGTGAGTAAATGATGACAGAATTTAATTTTTTTGGTGTACTATCCCTTTTAGGGTTGACTAATAGCCCTTGACTAATAGTGAACTTAAGGGAAAAATGCTTCAAAAGTACTCCTTTTAATATTAGTATTTTGAGTATGTTTCCTGTCATTCAGCAAGCTCCTTTAAGCTTATTCATGGCTACAAAACAAAAGCTTAATATCAGTAACAGTTGATCGTGACTGTCAGTAATCACTTGACACTCTTGGGGAACAATGATGGGATCTGGATGGTGGCAAGTATAATATGATAGCCAGCCTTATTAGCGCTTGCCTCTCTGTAGAGGGCACCCACAGTATAGTTTATTCCGTTAACACTGAGCCAAAGATGAACCCAGGAGGTCTGTGTGTGTGACTGTGTGTTCTCTTGAGTATCCATGCAGCTTGTGAGCAGACGGTGCTGATTATCATCTACTCCTGAGGGGAGGGAGGAGAGAAAAAGAAAGCCATCAATAGCTTTCGTACCCAGTCATTAGTGAGTGTCTTTAAATAGTCTGTTTACAGGGTTAGGTGGTAAGGTGTGTGCGGATCTGGATGACTAATAAATAAATGCTTATAGGATTTTGATTAGTGATGAGTGTTTTGGCTTGTCCTCCACTGATGATGATGAAGTGTGCCGTTATTTAACCAACAGAAATAGGGCTTAATTGTAGTAGTGAAATTATCTATCTATCTATCTATCTATCTATCTGTCTATCTATCTATCTGTCTATCTGTCTATCTGTCTGTCTGTCTGTCTGTCTGTATGACTGCCTATCTGTCTGTCTGTATGACTGCCCATCTATCTATCTATCTATCTGTCTGTCTGTCTGTCTGTATGACTGCCCGTCTATCTATCTGTCTGTCTGTATGACTGCCCGTCTGTCTGTATATCTGTCTGTATGACTGCCCGTCTATCTATCTATCTGTCTGTCTGTCTGTCTGTATGACTGCCCGTCTATCTATCTGTCTGTCTATCTATCTATCTATCTATCTATCTATCTATCTATCTATCTATCTGACTGTCTGACTGTCTATTATATACAATATATGACCTGGAATAATGGTTTGCAATTTGAAACATTACTGATTATTATACTTTTATCATTTTCATATAATTCTTACTGATGCTTTCAAGACTATGTTACATAACATTTGGTAACATTTAAAGAATTCACAGCAACAATGTCCAGTACATGTCAGAAAACCAAATGTTTAAGTCTGCAAGGCATAAAAACACATACAGGATCAACACATGTAAGATTTAGTGGCAGTGGAGCACTGGTCATATAGAGACAGTGCATCAACTGATCTGAAACTCTCTCACACTGGCCATAGGCCAACAGGCCATCCTTATTGTTGAGCCCTAAGAAAGCACACTCAAGACACATTTACATACACACAAATTATTTCAAAATGAAGCGGAAGAAGAACACTAACTTTACAGTCGCCATGAGCTGCAGAGAGCAATGCAAATACAGATTTCTTTTCACTCAAACACATGCTACACAGGGGCAGGTGCCAGGCTCATGTAACTCTGTGCTGGAGAGTTAAAGAAGATTTTTCCAGACGTCTCTGTTGTGTATATGTGTGTGTGTGTTTACGTATGCACTTGTGTGTAGTAGTTACTTAGAGCTCACACTGATTTAGACAGAGAGACAGCTGCCACTCTTTGAATATTTCATAAGCTTCCGACAGACCACGCAGTTACCCCCGACAACCAGCCCCCTTCCATTCACCCTTCTGCCCCAGCACTTAAACCTCCAGCTACCCACTACCAAGATTACTGAGCATGTCTTTGTCTGCTTTTTACTGTTTATGAGGTATTTGTATATTTGATGGGATTCAAAAATCTTTTTAATATTTAATTAATATTTTAATTTAATTTAATTATTTATTGATGTATTTATTATTGGTTATTAAATGATTTAGACATATATGGGCAGTTGATATGACAGCAGCACTTTTCTGCAGTTTGACATGCCATATAAAACTATTTTAAACAACATTTTTCTAAATATTGTACATTCTTAAT